CTGACCTCCTCCACCTACATAAGGGAGGAATCCCACTCCACACCAACCTCAGGTTGGCTGCTACCAGGCCGAGGCCAGACTTGCCCCCGCCTCCAGCCTTTTTTCACCCCACTCTGACACCGATGGGGCCTCCCATGGTACTCCACTTCTCCGCTGGGTTCAGGAATCCATGGTCATGGTCACATGGAATGCACAGGCAATGCACGCAATCATGGGGGGTTCTTAGGGAAAGTAACAGGCTGCCACAGGTCAGGATCAGAAAACACTAAGGATCCAGTCATTGCTCCACAGTCCTGAACCTCTGCCAGCATCCATGTCTCTCTAATTCACAGCCTCTCAGCCGTGTGGCCCTTTGACTAGGCCTTCGTAGGCCAGGAAGCCCATCTGCTGCTCTCCCTCACGGGCTCATTGTGTTTGGGCTGCTCCTCTCTCCATCTCATGATCCCCTTGCCTTCGTCTCTGGTCTCAGCTCCCCAGAGCACCTGCTGCCTCTGCTACTGCCAATAGTCCTCGCATGTGCTCCACAGCAGGCCCCTCTCCCTCCTGGCTCCAGGACTTCCTCTCTCTCTACTGCTGAGGCACCTCTGTATGGAGGTGTAGTTTTGCCTTTCCGGGGACCCTACCTCCAAAGAAATGGGGCATCAGCTTTGTTCACCCTCTAGTAAGGTGGAGACTCTGAACACATCCTACCTTAGTCCTGCCATTAGCATAACAGAGGAGTACCTCTAAAATGGGATTCTAACCACAGTCATAGAGCCTGGCGTTTACAGCGCATCACAACAGGGATTGAGGCTGGAAGGGCCATATTGATGGAGGACATCGCCCCACCTGGAGCGTTTTCTTTTAGTCACACCGAAGGTGGCTGCTGCCTTACACTGACAAGGGCACATCCAAGTATAGAGCTACAGAATTGTTATTCTTTTAAAATAAAACTCTAGATGCAGAAAAAAATCATCTTAGCTTTTTAAAAACAGAAACATCAAAACGAAAGCTACCGTTTCTCAACATAGACCCCACTTAGATTTATATACTTCTAAAGACAAATTGCTCATCTCTCTAACCCGTCTCCAAAGAATTGTGCTCTCTTCAAATTATGCCATGTCAAAATGGCAGTTTGGGGCATCCTTGAGGGATTCAAATGGTTTTCCTTTTAAAGCATCTTTGAGTTTAGGGAACCCAAAGAAATGTGAAGGTGTGAAATCAGGACTGTCAGGCAGGTGGGGCAAGGTCCCCGATACAATTCTCATGGGACAGCACTTGCTACCACCAGAGAACACACAGGTGCATTTTCATGATCAACAAAATAGTCAATACACCTGTCCTGGTCTTTTCTCATGAATGCAGGCTCCACTTTTCTTTAAAGTTCTTCCTAGCAAGCCTAAGAAGTTCTGTGTTCATTGAGAAAATCTATCAAGATTACCCCTTTGGGATCCAAGAAAGAACCAAACAATCTCCATAACCTTCTGAGCTGACTTCTCTGCCTCGAATCGAACTGACCCAGGAGATCCCTGGGAAGTTACTGTTTTGATTGGGCCTCTTTTTCAAGGTACCATAATGAAACTAAAGCAGGTTTATTATGAAGCGAAATGACCTATAGCACTCACTGATGGCAAAGATGTTTAAATACTTTTTGTTTGGAGTAACACTGCGTGTATGAACTAGAACCATACTTTTTAACATACCCTCATATCACATGACTTACCATCTCCATTTCCTGCTAGACTGTGACCCCTTGAGACCTTTATCCTGGTACTTCAGGTTGCTCCTGGTACTTGGTGGATACTTACCTATGAAATGTTGTTGACAGCTGGATTCTGGGCTCCCACTTAATTCCAGCCCCAATCCAAGAATAGTTAATTCAGACAGCATGGTCCTGCTCAATACTCACCTTCATGAAGAGATCACTGAAGATAAGGGTGCTACAGCAAAGTGTGGTGAAGAGAGCAGATGGTGCCTGGCTATCAATTGGAATAATGACTGGGGTCTTAACAGCTTGTATTCAGACAAGCAGCCATCTAAGTGAGGCGTCAACTAAGTCCACATGGAAAAAGCACACCAGCCCATGTGATCCAAAGATGAAGATAACAAAGTCTAAATATGATGAAGGGAAAATTATCAGAGTTTAAATTGTGAGCATCCAATGTTTAAAAGGCTGTAGAGGACAGAGGGAGCCCAAGATCCATGTGCATTGTATCTAGTCCGATTAAGCCTCTGGCAGATCCTCTCTAGCCGCATTCGAGGGACTCGAACAGCTTCACTATCAGAGAGAGATTAGTGTAAACTTGATTATGTTGGATCGAATCATGTGAACATATGATAACCACCCTCTTGACCCAACCTGAATTGCTCTAGGTCAGGTATTTCTCACATGTTCCATGACAGAAATGTCTCCTCTGTCTTTTAAAATATTGTTTATGGTCTTTTCTTTCTTACTCTATTTTTATCTTTATAATACTATTTTTATTTTCTTCTTTCTGTTTCATTTTGGTTTTTATTGTCTAGGTTGGGTTTCGCACTGTATGGCACACAGAAGGGGTGGATGACTAGGCACAATAAGGATGCCATGGTTTATGGGGGGGGGGGCGGGTAATGTGAATGGGAGAGCAAACCATGACTGCAGAAGGGAGGAGGGAGCACTAGAGCGGATTGTGATGATGGAGATACAACTTTATTTTTTCCAAAACCATTTTATTGGGAGCTAATACAGATACCATATTGTTCCATAGTTCAATCACATCAAGCAGTATTGTATAATTGCTAAAGTAACTTAATGGAAGTGCTATTTTTATATCAAGAAAACTACTGAAAAATAAAACAAGAACCCAAAGTTGACCAGTGGCCACCATGGGTGAAGGAGGAAGAGTGTGTGCGTAGCGGGCATTGAGTTTATGTTAATGGTGCTGGAATAATTTGGAAAAGGATAGTAATAATGGTTGCATAACAGTATAATCAATGGTATTAACATACCTATGGAAGATGTTGAATTGAAGAATGTTTTGTTGTGTATATATATATATTTAAACATTTTATTAAGGGCTCATACAACTGTTATCGCAATCCATACACACATCAATTGTGTAAAGCGCATTTGTACATCATTCTCAAAACATTTTCTCTCCACTTA